AGGGCGGTAGAAAGTTATCAAGGACGGTAGAGAGTTATCAAAGAAGGTAGTGAGTTATTAAGGAAGGTAGAGAGTTATCAAAGAAGGTAGGGAGTTATTAAGGAAGGTAGAGAGTTATCAAGGGCGGTAGAGAGTTACAAGGACGGTAGAGAGTTAATCAAGGAAGGTAGAGATTTATAAAAGAAGGTAGTGAGTTATTAAGGAAGGTAGGGAGTTATTAAGGAAGGTAGAGAGTTTATCAAGGAAGAAGAGAGTTATCAAGGAAGGTACAGAGTTATCAAGGAAGGTAGGGAGTTATCAAGGAAGGTAGGGAGTTATCAAGGAAGGTAGGGAGTTATTAAGGAAAGTAGAGAGTTATCAAGGAAGGGAGAGAGTTATCAAGGAAGGTAGAGAGTTATCAAGGAAGGTAGAGAGTTATCAAGGAAGGTAGAGAGTTATCAATGAAGGGAGTTATCAAGGAAGGTAGAGAGTTATCAAGGAAGGTAGGGAGTTATCATGGAAGGTAGGGAGTTATCAAGGAAGGTAGAGAGTTATCAAGGAAGGTAGAGAGCTATCAAGGAAGGTAGGGAGTTATCAAGGAAGGCAGAGAGTTATCAAGGAAGGTAGAGAGTTATCAAGGAAGGTAGAGAGTTATCAGGGAAGGTAGAGAGTTATCAATGATGGTAGAGAGTTATCAAGGAAGGTAGAGAGTTATCAAAGGAAGGTAGAGAGTTATCAAGGACGGTAGAGTTATCAAGGACGGCAGAGAGTTATCAAGGAAGGTAGAGAGTTATCAAAGAAGGTAGGGAGTTATTAAGGAAGGTAGAGAGTTATCAAAGAAGGTAGGGAGTTATTAAGGAAGGTAGAGAGTTATCAAGGAAGGGAGAGAGTTATCAAGGAAGGTAGAGAGTTATCAAGAAAGGTAGGGAGTTATCAAGGAAGGTAGGGAGTTATTAAGGAAAGTAGAGAGTTATCAAGGAAGGAAAGAGTTATCAAGAAGGTAGAGAGTTATCAATGAGGGAGTTATCAGGAAGGTAGAGAGTTAAAGGAAGGTAGGGAGTTATCAAGGAAGGTAGGGAGTATCAAGGAAGGCTAGAGAGTACAGAGGGAAGTAGAGAGTACAAGGAGACGAGGGAGATGTAAAGAAAGGGGCAGGAAGAAAAAAGATAGGAATGTAACAAGGAAGAGTGTAAGGAGTTAAACAAAGAAGGTAGGAGAAATACAGAAGGTGGGTAAAAGAGAAGCAAGGAAGTGGGGGAGGTAACAATAAGGTAGGGTGAAAGGAAAGGTGGGGAAAAGGAAGGTAGGGAATTTAAAAGGAAGGTAGGGAGAAAGGAAGGAAAGAGAATCAGGGAATGAAGATAAAAGGAAGGTAGGTAGGGAAGGTTAGAAGGGAAGAGAGGTAATAAAGGAAGGTAGGGAGTGACTAGGAAGTAGGGAAAGATAAGGAAGGTAGGGAGTAATAAGGAAGGTAGGGAAATTAAGGAAGGTAGGGAGAAAGGAAGGAGGGAGTTAAAGAAGGGGAAGTTACAAGAAGGTGAGAGTTAGTAAGGGAAAGGTAGAGAAAAAGGGAAGGTAGGGAAGTATCAAGGAAGGTAGAGAAGAGGAAAGGAAGAAGGGGAGACAGGGAAGGAAGAGGAGAAGAAAGGAAAAGGATAGAGTTATCAAGGAAGGTAGAGATCAAGGAAAGGTAGAGAGTTATCAAGGGGTAGAGAGTTATCAAGGACGGTAGAGAGTTATAAAAGGAAGGTAGGAGTAAATTAAGGAAGGTAGAGAGTTATCAAGGAAGGTAGGGAGTTATTAAGGAAGATAGAGAGTTTCCAAGGGGTAGGAGTTATCAAGGACGGTAGGTGTTATCAAGGAAGGTAGGGAGTTATCAAGAAGGTAGTGAGTTAATAAGGAAGGTAGGAGTTATTAAGGAAGGTAGAGAGTTATCAAGGAAGGTAGGGAGTTATCAAGGAAGGTAGAGAGTTATCAAGGAAGGTAGGGAGTTACCAAGGAAGACAGTTATCAAGGAAGGTAGGGAGTTATCAAGGAAGGTAGAGTGTTATCAAGGAAGGTAGGGAGTTATCAAGGAAGGTAGAGAGTTATCAAGGAAGGTAGAGAGTTATCAAGATAGGGAGTTATCAAGGAACGTAGGGGGTTATCAAGGAAGGTAGGGAGTTGTCAAGGAAGGCAGGGAGTTATCAAGGAAGGTAGAGAGTTATCAAGGAAGGTAGAGAGTTATCAAGGAAGGTAGAGAGTTATCAAGGAAGGTAGGGTGTTATCAAGGAAGGTAGGGAGTTATCAAGGAAGGAAGGTAGTTATCAAGGAAGGTAGGAGTTATCAGGAAGGTAGGAGGTTATCAATGAAGTAGGGAGTTATCAAGGAAGGTAGGAGTTATCAAAAAAGGAATTGGGGGTTATCAAGGAAGGTAGTGAGTTATCAAGGAAGGTAGAGAGTTATCAAGGAAGGTAGGGAGTTACCAAGGAAGACAGAGTGTTATCAAGGAAGGTAGGGAGTTGTCAAGGAAAGTAGGGTGTTATCAAGGAAGGTAGGGTGTTATCAAGGAAGGTAGGGTGTTATCAAGGAAGGTAGGGTGTTATCAAGGAAGGTAGGGAGTTATCAAGGAAGGTAGAGAGTTATCAAGGAAGGTAGAGAGTTATCAAGGAAGGTAGAGAGTTATCAAGGAAGGTAGGGAGTTATCAAGGAAGGTAGGGAGTTATCAAGAAAGGTAGTGAGTTATCAAGGAAGGTAGGGAGTTACAAAGGAAGCTAGGGCATTATCAAGGAAGGTATGGCGTTATCAAGGAAAGTAGGGAGTTATCAATGAAGGTAGAGAGTTATCAAGGAAGAGAGTTATCAATTAAGGTAGAGAGTTATCAAGAAAGGTAGGGAGTTATCAAGGAAGGTAGGGAGTTATCAAGGAAGGTAGGGAGTAATCAAGGAAGGTAGGGAGTTATCAAGGAAGGTAGAGAGTTATCAAGGAAGGTAGAGAGTTATCAAGGAAGGTAGAGAGTTATCAAGGAAGGTAGAGAGTTATCAAGGAATGTAGGGTGTTATCAAGGAAGGTAGGGAGTTATCAAGGAAGGTAGGTAGTTATCTAGGAAGGTAGGGAGTTATCAAGGAAGGTAGGGGTTATCAAGGAAGGTAGGGGGTTATCAAGGAAAGTAGGGAGTTATCAAGGAAGGTAGGGAGTTATCAAGGAAGGTAGGGAGTTATCGAGGAAGGTAGGGGTTTATCAAGGAAGGTAGTGAGTTATCAAGGAAGGTAGGAAGAGGGGAAGGAAGAGAGGAAGGTAGGAAGAGAGGAAGGAAAGAAAGGTAAAGAGGAAGGAAAGTAGAAAGAGGGTAAGGAAGAGAGAAGGAAAGAAGGAAGGTAGGAAAAGAGGAAGGAAAGTAGAAAGAGGGGAAGGAAAGTAAGAAGAGAGAAGGAAGATAAGAACAGAGGAAAGTAGGAACAGAGGAAGGAAGGTAGAAAGAGAGAAAGGTAGGAAGAGAGGAAGGAAGGTTATAAGAGAGTAAAAGAAGAAAGGGGGGAAAAGGTAGGAAGGAATGTGGGAGGAAGGAAGGAAAGTAGGAAGGAAGGTAGTAGGAAGGTAGGAAGGAAGGTAGGAAGGTAAGAGGTAAGTGTGGTGGCATCAAGAGTAAAGAAGGAAGGAAGGAAGGAAGGAAGGAAGGAAGGAAGGTAGGAAGGTAGGTAGGAAGGAAGGAAGGAAGGAAGGAAGGAAGGAAGGAAGGAAGAAGAAAAGGAAGGAAGGTAGGAAGGAAGGAAGGAAAGAAGGAAGGAAGGAAGGAAGGTAGGAAGGAAGGAAGGAAGGTAGGAAGGAAGGTAGGAAGGAAGGTAGGAAGGTAGGAAGGAAGGTAAGTGTTGTAGCATCAATCACAGAGTAACCTGAGCTGTCACACTCCACCCACTGTGTGGAGTTTTCTCATTAGTGAATGATCGTGTGTTGACCCCCACACCCTGACCCCCACCCCTCTCCCCCACCAGGCCACACTCCTGCCCACTCAATACCCCCACTCCCATCAAGCCACACCCTCTGTGCCCCCACCACACCCTTCTTCACCACCCTCACTTCTCTCCACCACCAGATATAAAACAAAAACTAATTTGAGAATGCCTCTTCAGATTCTGCTTTAAATTTTCAACACAGAAATATCCACCGTGAAACGTATTGCAGTGTTAAGGTGTGTATAATATATATATATATATATATATATATATATATATATATATATATAAAATATATATATATATATATATATAATATATATATATAACATATAGACCGTCTTTCATCATCATTCAACACTTTCACCATCACTAATACATAATCACTGTCTTCGCAGAGGCGCTCAGATACGACAGTTTAGATGTCGTGTGATAACTTGAGAATGAAAGTTCCGAGCGACGTCAAACCTAAAGCGTTGATGCTTAAGGGGAAAGTTTGTGCTGTTATCTGGCTGTGCAGACAATAATATTAAATAAATATGGATATTGTATTTTTATGCGATAACTAAAGGATACCTTTTCTGATAGGCTTTAAACTCTGGAACCTGGTGAATCTTACTTAGTGGACAGTTCGGGGAGGTTTTGGGCTATGTACGGGCCAATTTTCAATCTGCTTTGAAAAAAAAATGAAATATTAGTTATCATGCAGTAAGTTTTGAATGTATCATTTGACTGACTTGATCTTCAACGCTGATATTGAAGTATTATTATTATTATTATTATATTATAATCAAAAAGAAGCGCTAAGCCACAGGGGCTATACAGCGCTGAGATATTGAAGTAGATTAGTAATTTGAGTCGAACTCTCTCATATTCCTTTAAGGTACAGAGAGCTGCTTTTTCACATCTGAAAATATACCTCTAACGTCCTTATTAATTATTAATTTGTAGAAGGAAATGCTCTACATTTACACCATCTTTTTTTTAATGGTTAAATATTTTTGTAAAGTCTGATGGATCCATACCTTTCTCGGATCGCGTCGTCACAGAAACATATATAGTATACTAAAGAGTTGTATTGTGTTGCAGAGGTGGATAGTGAGCCCCGCAGCACCAGTCGACCAGTCAAGCCTGATACAGTACCCTCCTCCAGATCCTCCTTTGAGAGGTCCTCCTTCACCATCTCCTCCCTGGTGGGCCGCAGCCTCTCCCCATGGACCAACCACGCTGACGGTGGTAGTCAAGATGCCCAG